TAGGACAAAAAAGCCTAAAAGAATAAGGAGAGATTTTTATCTTAAAACATGAGACGTGGATAATTGCGATGAAGGAGTTAGTCATTGGGTTCGAAAAACACCATTGTGTAGCAGTAACAATGTCAAAAAGGAAAAGGAAGGGAGACCGTAGGGGGAAAGTTGGGAAGCGGAGCACAAAGCCTTGGAAAGCTTTTTAAATTTCGTGTGATTAAGTTTTGGTTATTTTCTTTTTCTTCCTCTTCTTATATCTACGCATATAGATACAAATATATTCAGATTACATTACATACATATACATATGTATATATAATTACATGCATATATATATACATATATATATAATGTATATATATACATATATATATACATTCTATATATTTCATATAAATACATAATTATTATTTAATATTGTAATTGTTTAAAAAAGTTTTGTGTATTTTTCTCATTCTTAGTTAAGCCCACTTTGAGAGTTGGGTTCTTTATATATTTTTTATTATATTATATATATTAAACGTTATAAAATACATATATTTCAAGAGGTTTTCATTTCTTTTTCTTTTTTTTCAAATTAAATTGTTTTACGACTGACTTATATATGTATGTATGTGTAACTTTATACAAAATAAAGCTGGAAAAAAAATTAATATTATCAGTGCATTTATTATCATATAATCATAAAAAATATATATTGATTGAGTTTCTATAAAAAAAAAAATAGTTTAGAAGACTGCTTTTTTTCATCCAATCTATATATGTACACATATGTGTATATATGTATAAATGTTAGTACATCATATGGGAACTAAGTACGATGGCTTCATATTGCAAAGCGCGATAAGCAATGATATTCTCATCGACGATCTACGGATTAATTTAACTAAGTATGGAATTCGAATAGAAATAGCGATACCACCGCGATCCAATTGTCGATCTGGGAAGAGATCTAGCAAACACAAAATCTGGGTAGAGAAACAAGCAAAGAAATGTCCATTTTGAAACGACACAGTTGCAGGTTTGTACTATAATAATATTGTTTTAACTCTGGTCACCTATTGTAGCTATCAGAATACTCTTTCAAGACTTTGCAATGCAACTGAACACTCCAGCTTTGACGGAGCAGCGGTTTTTAAATCATAGCAGTTGACTTTTGATTCAACCGTTAGTGTGCATCACGGTATGTTGCAATAAAAATGAGCTTAAGCTGGCCGAGTAGAACTTTTTTAGCCTAATGGGCACACATTCACGCATGTGACTACTTTTTAACCACTTACTCGATATTTTATATATTTGACCAGACGCGTAAAGAATGATTCTATTATGTACGTGTGTGTACAATGGTAGCTGATATAGAAGGTCTTAGGTTCCATCTTTTGACGGTTCCGTTGAAGATGGAACTTTACTCTTTAGACTTTTAGCTCTCTCTTCTTCTAATCATTTGAACCCTGACTTTGCTCTGGAAGTTTGTAATTAGTTGACAAGTAGGAATGGAAATTTTCGTTCTACTAATCGAAAGTTTTGCCGACAAAGTATCGTAACTCTACTCTAATAAGGAAATCATTTCAATTATTAAATTTTATGTGAAAATTATTTAAAAAAAAAACTAAGCTTAAGTTGTTATTAAGCCCTTGATCGGAAATTGTTGAAGTTTGGCATGCATTGGATATTTAAAATGAAATTTTTCATTACGTCGATCCCTTGAAACAAACGCCCTTCTCTTGAAATGTGTAGAGAATTTGCTTCTTCTTTTTTTTATACAATTTACTTACATTTTGATGTTATTGTTGTTGTTTGCTTTAAATTTATATTCAATTTACAAGAATGAAAGGGAGAAAATGAGGGAAAACATATCAAAAATAATATTATTTAATATTATACATAAGTAATAGAATTTACATAATCAATTTTAATTTTTAAGAATTTTACTTTCAGTTTCTTAAGATCTTTTCTTCTTTTTTTTTGTTCTTTCATTTTAGCAGAAAACAATTATTGTTGAGATTTATTATTAAATTCGTTTTTTAAGGCCAATCTATCAATTTGGATTTTTTATTTTTTTATTTTTATTTTTTTTTTGCTTTTAAATAAACTTAAGTAAATACGATTGATTCATTTTTACAAATTTTCCTACACTTTTGAAATTCAAAATAAAAAAAAAAAAAAAAAAAACAGAAAATGGAAAAGAAAAACTTTTCTTTTATATAAAAAGTAACTATAATAATTTTACGGAAAAATGAAAAAAAAAAAATTGCAAAATTTTACAAGCACTTCATTTTTTTTACAAAATATTTCACACATGAGCTGCGTTTGTTTGTTTGTTGGTTTTTTTTTATTTTATACAAATATTTAAAAATTTCTTTTTACAGTTTCATTAAAAGATTATTTTTGGTTTCGTTTGGTTGTTTTTAAATTTTTGTCATTTGTTGTGTGTGGTTGGTTGTTTTTTTTTTTATTTTTTATTTTACACAATTACAAGAACAATTTTTACAGATTTTAAAAATTTTACACAAAAAATATACAATTTCTCATTTTTATTTCTTTTTTTTTACTTTATTTATTCTTTTCTGTTTTATACACATTTCTTCTGATATTTCAAGAGAAAGTATCGACAAAATGTACATCACCGTTTACCCATAAAAGACTTGAATTAAAACTTGCACTGTATTCTATACATATGTACCAAACATACATATATACATATATATACATATCTACTCTTTATATATATATATATATATAAAACATGGATGAGAGCCGTAATTTACATATGTTGTTGGTTCGCGATGTGTATACAGAGGTCTTCTTAAAAAAAAAAAAAAAAAATTAATAATAAAAATGGTACATGCATATATATATATATACTTATATATATGTATAAGAATATATATATAACTTATACTTTTAAAAAAGGTGGGAAAATTATGACTGAAATAGTTTACGGTTATAACTAAAATAAAAAGAATTAAAAGAATTATTTTTTTTTTCTTATAAAACAATAGGACACGAGAGTAAATAAAACTAAAAAATTTAAATCTAGCTTATCTGCTTGAGAATGAGAGTTTCTTTCCAGACTTGTATATACTGCGTTAAAAGTATTTATTAAAGTAAGACAAATTTGGTAGAAACATTTTTAGTGGATGAGTGGATAACTGTAAGCCAACATAGAAGCTGTGACCAGCTTGCATTCGCCCTCGCTACATAAAAATTTTTCCGAGATCATAACCGAAAAAAAGGTTTTTCGTTTTGTTTTCCACAAGACAGTGACAACGTTGCGAAGTCTGATTTTTTCTCCTATAAGAAAGTAACGAGCCAGACAACAATTGAAAACAAAGCTTGCTCTACAGACTTATAGTGAATCTTAAGTAGATTCCAACAGACGTGCACGCAGACAAATATGACGATTTCACTCTTCCGATAATGAAAATAGTAAAAACATTACAAAACATTTGTCTAACTTGGGAAGGATTCAGATAAATTATTTTTTCAAATTTAGTTAACAATGAATTTTACATAAACATTTTCCTTGGTTTTCTTAGATCACTTTTTTCTTCTTTTTTTTAATATTGAAGCGAGCAAAAGTTTTTCTTTATAAATAAAATTTACTCTCATGTCGTGATTATTTAAATAAATTGCAATTACAATAAAATTGTTTAAAAAAAAAAAGTTTTTTTTTAAAGAACATTTGTGTACACTCTTCTAAATTATTTAACATTTTCTCTTAGTCTTTTTTTTATGTTTTTTATTAAAATTTTAAACATTATTGAGAAGACACATTATAAAATTAAATTGAAAACAAAAACTTACCAGAACAATCGAGAGAGAGTTAACGAATTTACAATTACATATACCTTTCTTAAAATAGAAACATATTTAGAAATATTTTGGTTTACACATACATACATAGACAATAGTTTTTCCGTTTTAAAAAGAAAAAACATTTTTTTTAAACAAATTAGAAACATTATATAAAATAATTTTTAAAAATAAAATTTAATTTAAATGTGAATATTAAAGAAAAGTTTTAACAAACCGTAAAATAATAAAATTAAAATTCTATATAAATATATAAATGATTGGTTGCTTGATTTTTTCTACATGAAAATACTTGACTTGGAATACAACTCTTGCATTTTATTTTTGCTTTTCTTCTTCTTTTTGTTTTTAAATAATAAGCGAGGACTTTAAGTAAAGATATAAAAAATTTTAAAAACGAATTCATTTAGATGAAAAATTAATTAATAATTATTATGAAAATGGATGATTGTTAATTAAATAATAAATCAAAAAAAAAAAAAAAAATACTCAACTTTACACATAGATTTACGCACATCTTATATATATTGATATATTGAAAGACAAAGTCTTCTTCTTGCTTTCTTTCCAAACACAAATCATTTACAAGACAACTTTATTTAAGTTTAAGAGTAATATATATATATATTGAGTGAGTATTTGCGAAATAAATAATAAACAAAAGTATTTAATTTGAGTGGGGCGAAGAAGAGAGAAAAAAAATAAAAAAATTAAATAAAAAAAAGTATGTTTTGAGTTTTGAGTTGCATGCTTTCATTATTCATGTGTTCTTGCTTGCGTAGTGTTATATTCGATTCGATTTGTTTTAAGTAAGAAGTTTTTTTTTTTCGAATTTTTATATTTATAAGTTATGAGAAAGTTGTAGTTGTAGCTTCTTAATAGATTGTTTTTTTTTTTTTTGTTTTTATAGTTTTTCCTGCTAAAATTTTTGTAATTATTTCGTTATCATCATATTTATCATGTATTACACTACTAACGCTAAACTTTTGTTTGTTTGTTATGAATATTTATTTATATCAAGGGATTTGTTTTTGTTTTATATTTTCTTTTTCTCTATTCATTTTGTTTTGCTTTTTCTATTTTTATTTATTTATTTATTTTTTTTTTTGTCTGCAAAGTAGGCTTAGTGTAATAATAAATTTTTTATTTTTGGTTTTTATAAAAAAATTTGTTAATGAATTTTTATAATTCTCTTTTTTTTTCATATTCTTAATACCAAAGTAACAAACATTTGGATTCCTTAAGATTTTCTTATACGAAAGACTTGACAACGATTGTTGTTGTTGCTGCTGTTAGATGATAGCTTTTTAATGTTACAATATTTTCCGAAAAACGAACAAAGAAATAAAAACATATTACTCTTATTTTCTTATATTATTTTTCGCTTTTCGTTATTTTTTCTTTCCTAATGAAATGGTTTTTTCTGTTTAAAAGTGAAAATTACACATAAAAAAATATTTTTTTTTTATTACAAACTAAACGTCGTCTTGCCGTGACTGTAAAATACATACATACATACATATAATTACATTAAAATGAAACTAAAAATTATCAAACAATTTCTAGATGATTTTAGTCTTAACGAAAACAAGCAAACATATATATATATATATATATATATATATATAAGCGAATATAAGTAAAATCGGAAAGAGTTACTTATAATGATCTTGAAAGGATTTTGTAACATGCGTTTAATGGTTTTCACACATCTTCATCATCATTCATCACTCATCATCATCATCATCATCTTTATCACTTTATATATAAAGTAAAATGAAAAGGCCCTTGACTGCCTTCGAGAGCTCCTTTACGTTGCCAAGCTAAGAAGCTTGCTTTTTATATAAATATAGGAATTGTTTGTAGGTGTGTATTCTTTTCTATACAATTAAATAAAATAAACAAAAAAAAAGAGCATTTGAAGTTTACATAAATTACACCATATGGAAAGAAAAAAATGAAAAAAAAATTACGAGTTTTTTAATAAATAATTTTTTTGCTTTTTTTTTTTAACTTAAGCTTACATAACACCGTTAAGAGTGCTACTGCTGGTAGGAGCCGGTGTTCCAATGGGTCCTAGACTATTGTTAAGATTTGCGTTAACCATTGCTGCTGCAGCTGAGATATTATTACTATTGCTGTTGTTGTTACTATTCACTACTGCGAGAGCTGTTGCATTGTTGGCCACTATTGATTGGCCCGCAGAAACAGCTGACGCAATACCATTCTCGAGTACCTGTTGCTGATTATTACTGCTGTTATTATTATTATTATTGTTATTGGTGATATTTGGCCCGGCCACAGTAATAGTTGTAGTATTTGTCGGCCCTGTTAGCCCTACTGTTGTAATAATCGACGTTGTTGTTATTGAATTAGCCAAAGCTGTGGTTATCGCAGCAGCCCCGCTAGTCATCGCTGCACCAGTTGTTACATTCGAATTAGTTATCGGATTAGCGGTCTTCATGAAATATTTCTCCAATTTGGCATTAATGTGCTTCCCATAGGTGTACTTGCGTAAAGCCGCCATATGAGGCTTGATTTTGTTCATTAACTTTTTCAATTGTGTCGGTTCCGACACATCAATCATTTTTTGTACAACATAGTTGGCGTATTGATCCTTCATCATAACATGTAAGGCACTGATGTAATATATTTAAATAAAATCATTTTTAATGTATGTTCGAAAAGCAAAAATAAAAAGGAAATAATATTAACTTACGTATCAACAAAGGTGCAAACTTCATCAATTAGAGCGGTACGTTCAGCTCTGGTAGCATGAGTAACACATTTTTCGACTACATTTGAAGCGAATTTATGCTGAGATAATGCCAACACTTTGCCTCGTACACTATTTATCAAAATGGATTTATCTTCCGGTTTGCCATGCTCTACAAAATTGATTAGATTTTAATTTTATATGAGAAAACCAGAGAAAAAAAGACGAAAAATAAACAAAAAAAAAGAGTAATTTGTCGGTAAAGGTCTACCCGGAGGCACTGCTTACGATATAAACAACGACGAAATAAGGTGCGCATATGTCTCATAATTATAATTAACTCAAACCAAAAAAAGAAATTCTACAGCTAAAGTAGTGCTGCTCATCACCCAAATAAATGAATAATAATATATTTAAAACTTACTAGCAGTCTATGCCGATTATCACTAAACAAAATAAAATCGCACTTCTTACATACATATTTTCAAAAGTTATGGGTGGCCTCTTGACCAGATTTGGTGATTTTCCGAGTTTGATATAGCGATTTTCCTAAAAAAAAAAGAATGTAATCCCGTCCATTCCATCTAAAATTGGGAAAAAGACGAATTTATCAATTCTTCTCGATTCATTGATACAACAACCAAAGTTGATTTTTGTATATGGCGGAGGTATTCGAATTAAAACTCTACAATTTTGAGGACACAATTAATAATTAAGAATAAAGGATTATCATTCCTTTCTCCTTGCGGTACAAGGAAATGGTAAGTTTGTGCCGATGTATGCAGCATCTAGAAGGACTTGAGGTAGACATACAAATTGTTATACTGAAAGTGATTCTTAATCGATCTAAGCTTATCTGTTCGTCTCTCTATTTGTCCGCGAGTCTGGTGTTCAGCCTACAGATCGCTATTGAAAATGCTGGGCGTTGTCCTACTGTTTCCTTTATTATTATTCTTATGTCCAATTGGCTAATTTAGTCCATTTTAAAGGTCACAGAAAAGTTTCCTTTTGTTGTAGTCTCAACAAGATTGCAAAACATGAGATTCGACGGACAAATGGGACTACAACGAGTTCTCTAGTCAAGCTGTTTAAGAATACACATCATATTTGGGATCTTTGATGCATAATTCTGTGCACTACAAATATTTAATGTAAATATCGTAAGTCGCCGTCTAATGGATATAAAAATATTTTTTCATTATATTTTTAGCTACTTACCCAATACATGTTGTATAACATAATTGCCGTATTGATCTTGTATTAATTGTTCAGTGTGTTCGTGCAGTTCTTCCAGTATGGGTTGCGTTTGCTCTGCTGTACAATGCTCTAGTATACGTTGAATGACACGGCATCCATATGGATGAGTGCTTAAAGCATACACTTGACCCTTGAAAGCATTAATTATGAATTGCAAGGCTGAAGGATCAACACATTCTATACATTTTTGCACCACATGATTACCATTCTGATCCTTGACGCATTTCAGTACATTACCATCCAGTTCACGTACGATTTCCTGTTGTTGCTCAGATGAGATGCTTTCCAATGCTTTTTGTATAACGCGACAACCGTACATTTGCAGAGCCAATTGCAGTACATGACCTTTGACCTGCATGCCTAATGTGTTCTTTTGTTCGGGTGTACCGAACTCGAAGAACTTTTGTATAACATAATTACCAAAAACGTCGGTCATAAGACTGTAGGCAGCACCTAAAATTTCATTGAAGACCATTTGTTTTTCGGCTGCTGTAGCCCGTTCCAATTTTTGTTGTATGAAACGTGAACCGTGCTGGTCTTGCGAGAATTCGACAATGTGATTGGCTAAGTCACGCAACTGTAAGTTAGGGTAGCGTTGATTGCGGAAATCTTCCAGCAAACGTGAACGCCCTGGTTGCGGAGCACCGCCAGCAGCGGCGGCTGCAGCTGCCACAGCTGCGACCCCAGCAGCTGCTGCTTGACGAGAAGAGACAGCAGCAGCAGCGGCCGCGGCAGCAGCTGCAGCAGCAGCAGCGGGTGTAGCGCCCGGTATAGCTAAATGTTTGGAGAACAATGAACTGTTTGAACCGAACATATTATTGGCAGCAGCCGCTACAGCCGCAGCTTGAGCAGCAGCAGCAGCTGGCGGTAATCCAACAGCCATTTGTTGACGATATTTTGTCTCGGCACCAGGTGCACGATTGGTCATTAGGCACGATTGTGGTGGAGGTGGCGGAGTAATGGCAGCTCCAATTGGACTCGCTGATGCCGTGGCTCCTAATGTACCATAAGTGTTGGTAACGGCTCCTGGCCATTTACGAGCGGCAGCAGCTGCGGCTGCTGCAGCAGCTGCTTGAGCCACTGTTGTCGATACCGCGTTACTTGCTGCAGCTGCACTACTGTTGGTATAATCCATGGCAGAGGGACTAAAGGCAGATGTGTTGCGATCAAAGGAATCACGACGTCCGGTCAACGATGATGTATTTAAGGCCAGACCTAAAAAACGAAACATGATCATAGGAAAAGAAAAGACACAAAAATATATATTACTGAAGGTAAACAGAAAGGAAAAGAAAGAGAGAAATACGAAGAGATATTTAAAATCCAATAAATTAGCCTTAATATTAATATAATTATGATTAACTGACACCTTTAATCGTGCACAGGGTACATCATTTTTGCAATCTAAAGCCACTGAACAGGCCAAAGGACTTACAAGTAACAGATAGAAGAGAATGCTACTAGACAACGCAAGCAAAAATTCATTGCACCTGTGAACGGTCACGTTTTTTAAATTATGTTCTAAAGTATCACACAAACGCGTTCACCCAGCTATCTACACCGAGATTAAGACACTTGAACACTTGAGTAACAAATTTTTACAAATACCATTACGGGTATGAAAGTAAGAGGACATTGGCCTTACGTTTATTTCATTGCTGTAAGCGCACGTGCACATACGTAACATATATTTCAATTAAGACATCAGAGCCTTCGGTAAAAATTTTATGTACATTTATTTCAACGTAGACCGCCACCACCACTACCCGGCTATAATTGAACGAAAGTAAATTGTATTACAGTTGTGTGCGATTGTTATTGTTGCTGCTGTTGCTATTGTCGTTACGGGTTTGGAGCCAATGAAACGCAAAAAGAAAAAAAAAACAACCGGAAATTCTCTAAAGTAACGACAACAGTAGAATAAAGATTTGTAAGCGAGATAGCAATAAAAAGCAACGGGAACTGAATACGTAAGATAGAAACGAAGGTAAACCGCAAAATAAGATTAAAGTAGATGAAGAAAAAAAAAAGGAAAAAAAAATTAATTGAGATAATTTTTGTTTTCAGCTTAAGTAAAAAAATCGCCGGCTTAAAATGTTGTAATTAAAAAAAAAGAAGAAGAAGAAGGTTTTTCGATATAAGAGCGGTGAGGAGAAAACGAACAACTCTTCAAAGTGAACCGTAAATTTTCAGTTAGCGTTACAAGCAGGCTGTAAATTATGTTTGTTATTTTAAAGAGAGCCTACGCTTAGGCAGTGATAATCGACTCAATTAAATCGTTTATAATTTCTTTTTTCCTTAAAATTCTTAAGGGTGAGCTTTGCTGAAGTCGGTCTAATAAAAATAATCATAATTTAATTAATTAAAAAATAATGAAGAGCTTAAGCTTTATAGGGATGAAAAAATTTCATAGAATTCTTTCTTTTGATTTTAATAACACCAAGTTCATATCTCCTTTTCACAACGTTTTCATGAACTTACTCCACTTTTATAACATAACATATTTTGGCGGGAACATTTAAACAGTTGAAATATTTTTCCATAATTTATGAACAAAAATCATGCTTCACAAAACGCGTACTTTGTCCTTGCCTAAATTTTATTTCGCCTTACATTTCTGCAAGAATCATTTAGCGTCATGTCATAGTAATGTATCGCAGGGATGAACAGGCATTTCAATTTAATTTGTAGTTACTATGCATATGCGTATTTACATATATAAATGTAAATGTGGAGATAGATAAAAGCTGGATATAAGAACTTTAAGTACTCTAGTATACATACACTCACCATTCGTGGATAAGAACTAATTATGCAACGCGAAGGATCGGCAGAGACAAAGTCTAAAGGAGAAAACATCCCGAATTTTTTGGCATATTGAAAGAAAGATGCGGAGGATGAGAGTTAAATTTTATTCAATCAATTCGTCAATTTAGAAAATTTGAATCCCATGGCTAGAAGTTAGAGGGTAAGGAATAGAATTGTATGTAATAATGGATCAACTAAAAAGTCTTTGCGGTTTTTTCTTGACTCTTGCTCCGCCAGTTGCAAAATTTCTTCGACTTTTTCGACCAGAGCGGAATACCAAATATTTCCGGAATTTTCGGCATGTTTTTGCATGTCTTACCTTTTTTATAATAAAAAAATCATCACATAACGTATTTCCTCAGATATTTCACCCATTTTCAAATCAATATAAATTTTTACACGAGGAAAGAATGAGAGAACCATTTTAACAAATAAATGTAAGCTGAAATGTTACTGCGTAAGCACATGTTCGTTTAAGACCATAAGAGTGTTGCCCGATATATAAGCATTAACACCGCCCCGCGGAAAAACGCAAAGACTTTTTATATACGCTAATATTTTCGTGTTGGAAAAGTTTTTTTTCAAATAGATTTTTAGATTCCCCAGCAAATGCAAAAAATAGATCTTCAAGGGTTAAGTGAAGAATAATTGAGAGCAGATAAGATTGGTAATTCGCATTATCTCTGAAAATTAAGGTTAAGTCCGTCCTCATATTTTTTATTTTTAGTATGGATATTGGGTCACAAAAACACCAAGTGCCCCCAAGGCCGTGAAAGGCCGTTTTACAAACGTAAGACAAAAAAAGCAGAGTTGGTGCCAATTTCTTAATAAAACTGTCCCTGACCAAATTTTTTAAAAAGTAGAAAAATAAGAGCAAGTGAGAAGATTATATTCAGCTGCCTCTCTCTCCATTTTAAGAAAACAACTATGATACTTTATAATATTGAATAGGCGTGGTCAATATTCCCAATTTTTGTACAAACATTCTACCAAACAAATATTTTTTTTTTGCTTTTGAAAGCCCAGAAATTCTTATTTATGTAGTATGTTGATGGGCGTGTGCTTTGACCAATTTGGCCTATTTTAAATAACAAACTGCATTCGACGAGAACTTCCACTGTTTCTGCCGGATCTGCATACGGTGCCTTTAATTTTTCGACAAGACAAATGCTCATTATAGGCAAAAGGCTGGACTCGTGTATCTAGATCGATGCAGAATTTAATATTTATCAGCAATTTGTGAAGTCTCTGAAGCTAGAAGATTCCGCAGAAGTTACGACAATATGAACATACTCTCAATTTCTCGCTGGTGAATGCATACAACTGAGACTACGCTGAGAAGAAATTAAAGCATCCATTTTCAACGAATGACATATTATAACATGATGAAAACGTTTTCGCAATTCATGCGAATTAAGTCAAAATGTTTTTCTATTTAATGTTTAAGTACTAAAGTGAAGGGTCTGGTCTGCAGAACTTGCCGTTATGTTAAACATCAACTGCCTGAAACTATGTTACGTTAAATTTACTTTAACACATAGGGAGAAGACTGAATGACATGAACGAACATTCATCAAGGTAAGGCTAGTAGGAGAACGGTAGAGAAAGAGAGAGAGAGAGAGAGAGAGAGAGAGAGAGAGAGAGGGAGAGAGAGAGAGGGAGAGAGTTTACGGCAGGCAATGCAATAACGCATAACAATGCATTAGAAGTGACATTGTAGCGAATGAAATTTTCTTTGTTCCACATCTCTCATGTCGATAATAAACTTATTTTCACCCTCATGCCCAAGCATGTATGAATTTTGCTTTTATGCACATGAATGTTATTCTAAAACATTGTAAAATTTAATGAAAGCACGTGAATATGTTTTTTTTTTTTTTTTGCTTTATTAAGAAAAAAAAATTTATTAAAAACAGAAGTACTCTCTCTCTATACTACGGCACGCAACGTGTCTGCTGCATGAAGTTACAAGCGGTTTTGCTGTTCTTGTTTTAGAAATGTCTGTAAAAGCTTTAAAACCTATCCAAACAAACACAGGCACTCTTATTACTATACTATCTTTATGCATATATATATATATATATATATATATATATTTCATAGTAAGAGAAATTTGTGCAAGCAAAAATGCTTACAGACATCCATACATCCCATATATGCATGCAAATATGCGAATATATGCAAATGTGTGCGTATAATAAAAGAAAATAAAATGTATGCAGTGTAAACGTGGCAAGAGCATGCTTTCATATAACAAATGCTTCGGGCTCTGTGCATTGCGTGGTTCTAATGCAATGCATTATATATATATATATGTACATGTATGTAAGTATATGTATGTATAAAAACACGTGTCACCGTTTTAATTTTAAGTAAAATTTCATAATATTTGCAGAAAAACAAGCTAGAGCAAGCACGCAAAACATTCTGTTTTATAGAGTTGTGATGGAAATTGAACGAAAAAAGGAATTTGTAAAATTGTTACAAATATTATCATAAAATCGGTTTTTGAAAGGCATTGGAAAGGATATAATATTGTCACTGAAAACACTCTCATATAGTATTTAAAGAAAATTAGAAAAAATAAAAATAAATAAATTTCCGAAATATTTTGCCTATCTTTTATGCATTCTCCGAATTTGTTCTTCGAAAACTTTCATTATACTACGCAGCACTTATGCTGCGTGGGTACATTATATGTGTGCGGATGTATACAACACCCACTTTTATTGCTCCAATCGGTTCAGAAAGTGATTCTTGTATGTATGTATGCATATATATATATATATATAGTCTGTCTTTCCGTCCGTTTTGTTTCCTTATATGTCTAACTCCTATAGACCGCAAATCTTTAAGATTTTCTGATTGAATTTGGTACCCTATCCTATTTTGGTCCAAGAGTGTACGCTATTTGAAGCGGTTTGATTCTAACTACTTTTTCAAAAAGGCTTTAAGGAAAGTAGTGTAGGCTATTTGATGATGGGCCATGACCTACTATACTATATATTTTTACGATAGTGTTTGAAAAGCTGTAGCTATTTTGTCAATTGTCAGTGTAATGTGTCATCGTAATTTTATTCTATATCATCGTAGTTATAGTGAATATGGTCAGCAATATTTACTGATCAAATACAAACTTCTTATTCGTTCCATTTCTTTGTGACCAGTCATATACTGCGCATTCTCTGAGAGATAGAGCAAATAAAAAACGAAGTAAGAAAACTATATTCGGTTGTGACCGAAATCAGCATTATTCTAGAAAAGACTAAAACGAAAGAAAAATTTTTTGCTTGAATACAAAATGTCAGACGGACAGGCCTGTTTAACAGCTACTTTGCATATACGGAAGGCAATCGGTAATGAAAAAAGTGGTGTTTGCATAATTTTGGCAACGCAGATTAAAGATT